ATATATATATATATATATATATATATATATATAAACAAAGCAATAGAGAAACCAAAAGTAAAGTAAAGTTGTTGACAGATACGCCTTTTTTTCCCCACTCTTTTGTTTTCATTATCATTTTATTTTCACTTTTCTCTGTATCTCAGGATGTCAACAAGACTCACATCTTAAATACATATTAGAAGCACATTCTACCACTACCACTACTACTACTACTACCAATATTATTAATAATACCAATACCAGTAATAATAATAATAATAATAATAATAATAATAATAATCCCGAGCATAGTAATAAATATATTAATGATTCCAATATAAATAGAAAAAAAAAACTAATAGAAGATGATAAGTATATAAATATATTAATATTGTCAATAATAAACAGCGGAAATTATCCTACAAAAACACAAAAAAAGAAAAAATTAGGAACTGGAAGGCAAAACACAAACTAATTATATAACTCTACCGAGCCACGAAAGCAAAAGGAGAAAAGTAAACAACTAAAAAGGGAAATAAATAAAAAATTATAATTTAGCAAGAAAGAAAAAAAAGCACGCAAAAAAAAAAAAAAAAACCAATATCATATGGGAAAACGGATCGAACAAACTCAATCATTTGAAATAAGGATAAGAAAAACTCACCAAACAAAAAACGAAAAAATATACATATGGATATATATATATATATTATAGTTTTTTTTTTTTTTTGTTCTTCGCTATCACACATGCAGTCGTCCATGCATTCATACACAGACCCTGAAATTTGAGCCTCTGTATACAACACGCTCTTCCAATTTTCGAATAACTTACATGAAGGTGAACAGCAGGGGTGAGAGAAAGCAATCGGGTGGAGTAGATATAGATAACATGGACTGCCTCTGGACATCTGAGATAACATGCTGCTGTGGATCATGCTGCCGCTGCTGATGGGAAGGGTAATATGTGGTCCGGCTCTGCATGGGCAGGGATGGAAGCGACGACGTTGAGCTTCCCGCTGCTGACGGGTTATTTACGTACGACGTTTGTTGGGATGTATAGATTGGACCAAAAGAATACCCACGAGGTTGAGCAAACATCGGCGATGACTGTTGTTGCTGTTGTTGTTGAGATTGTTGTTGATGATGAGATTGAGGTTGTTGTTGTTGCTGTTGTTGTGGTAACTGAAAGGAGGGTGGTGGTATGATGAGTCTGTTGCCGTTGGGATTTGGAAATGAAATGACAGCCGGTCGTTGTTGCGATTGCGTGAATGTCCCTGTCATTGTGTGTGGGACTCCAGCCGTGTGGCCCCGGTGTGCATTGCGGGCTGCGGCTGTGTGCAGAGAAGACTGCGATGGGGTTAAATGCACACGGTGAATAAAGTTGCACATCCGCCCCCGTGCACACTTCTCACGTTCGTAGTGTTTGCAGAGTCGCAGGAGTTTCATCGATCCACTCCGCTGGGCATCTTCACTCCCTTTCGTTTTGTACACATGCTCCGATGCGAGTCGACGTGGAATGTTGACTGTACTGTTATTACTGTTGTTATTATTATTATGATTACTGTTATTATTGCTGTTGCTGTTATTGATGTGAAAGACAAATCCGGGTTCGTGTCTTTCATACAGTGCCTCTTGCAGTGAAGGGACGGGTGTGGACCAATGCACGCGAATAACTTTCACACGTCTCTCATCCAATGGGGCTTCTGTTAACATGTGGCGACTGTGAATAAAGTCGCAGAGGGCCCCGTGTGTGCAGGTGGAGTTGCTTGTGTACATTTTGCATAAATAGAAGGAGAAGGTGGGGGCGCTGGTGTTGTGATTCTTCGCCACGTAATTGCGGGACCCGGCGGTTGGTTCAATCAACTCCGGTGGAATGGAAAGCGTTTCACTCTTGTCGGCACTCAACACATTGAAGTGCGTGTCCAGCAGGCCGCTGCCCGCACTCTCCCCCATTCGCCGGCTGCTGCTGTTGCTGCTACTGTTGATAATACTGCTGCTGGTGTGCTGGAGAACACTGTTGCTGTTGCTGTTCGTATCACTGGTGTGACTGGCCTTCGCATTGTCCTTCTGGTGATTATTATTATTATTATTACTGTTATTATTATTCCCCTGCAGTAAACTACAAATGCCCATATTCTGCATAATGTTATCAGAGGCACTGGGCGGGAGTGCGAACAGCGTGAGTAAACCCTCCCCTCCTCTCTCATTCATCGTCAATAGAGAATCCATCAATTCACACTTTTTCTCTCTCTCTCTCTTTTTTTTCTTTTTTCCTCTCAATATGACTGATAATGACGGGATTATTTCAAATAGGAATAATAACAATAATAATAATAATAATAA